TTCACCGTCGGTATAAATGTATAGTTAACACAATTATATCATTATTTATAGAATAAATTTCATTAATGTATAAAAATTGTTAGATCATAATTCTATAGATGGATTATAATTTGACACTCCTCAATAGTAGTTTTTTGGTACACATGTATTCACAATCTTTTGCATTACATTAAATCATAACGGAATCTTGCTAAAAAAAACACTTCTTATACCTTTAAATTATCAAGTTGTATATATTCATTGCATGAAATTAACACCAAAAATAACAATTCATTCATGAAAATTATTTTTATTGAAGAATTGTTTCTTTTTGTGATTATGTTACGGTCGTGTCTAGGTATGCTTAAACTATTACGAGTTCACCTTAGTCTAATAAACAGAGCAAAACAATGAACCAACGTCCAGGTAGGCTACTGTGATCCCTTGACCAAATTGAATCAGTAAGAAGTCTTGATATAGTGTAGAAATTGTATTCTAAAAACACTCAGCCAGCACACAATTAATCCAAACACTCAAATTGCGTTTATTTATACTCTATAGAGACGTCCTTGGCAGAGTCACAAAATAGCACACTAAAATGACACAGTGACCGATCACAACCAAAGATTTCCCTGGTGGGAAATGGGATTTCAAAGTCAACTGACCGGTCCATGAAATAAATCCAAAATAAAGATATTTATCAAGCGAGTTCTGGGGATACAACATCCCCAACAGATTGATTGTCTTTTCTCGTTATATTTTCACTGTTTCCATTATTATTTTTTTTTTCTTATTTTTTTATTATCGAGCATCATTTAAATAGTTAGTTAATCAAGCAGGTAGCTAGTTAGATTTATTTACAAGAACTTAGCATCATTAGTTTCTGTTCGGGACGTTAGATCCCCAGAACTCTCTCTGAAAACTTCCTAATTTCGGATTTTATTCATGGGCTGATCATTTGACCTTGAGATTACATTCCTCCCACGAGAAATCATTGACTGTCATAGGTTGATGCATTATTTCAGAACAACAATTTTTGTGGCTCCTCTAAGGACGTTTCTATGATGTATAAATAAACTCATATTTTCTGGGTGCATGTAGAATACACACTCTCTACGTTTTGTCAAAACTTCTTGATATAGTTAGCCGGGTCTGGGACGCTCGGATTAGAATAGCCTATCGTGTCACTGGATCATTTGTCTTCGCTCTCGTTTACCGACTAAAGTGAACTCGTAATAGCACATTCAAGCATATCAATTGACGAGCATAACAATTTCTATTACAATTGAACACAAATCTGTATGTTTGTATATCTCTGATAGGTTTAACAAAATTTTGATCACTTACATTAAAAACCTATATTTTTTTACAATCACTTTTGTAAATTCAACAACTTGTACATTTCAAATTTATTATTGTACTACTTGAAACACACAAACATCAATCAGACTTCATGCTGCATTCAATTTTATTCAACAACTGAATTATGTTTTTTTAACTATAAACTATGGTTAATTTTAGTTGACCTCTTTTTTTTATTATAGGAGGTTGATTGTACTGTGAAAAATAGCTTGCATATTTGATACTAGGAATTATTTATGTGAAACTATAAATAAGTAGTCTTTGGTTTTTTTTTCTTTTCTAAAATATGTTTTATGGCATAATTATAAACATTTTTTTTCATTCAATCCGTTGACACACTATATCACACTATATATCCTTTCAAGTTGTCTCATTCATATCTCTCAGGAAAAACCAATCAAATGAAATAGTCTAATCACACCATAGTAGAGAAACAATTAAGCATAAATAATGTTATTTGAAGAGATAAAGGAAACAAGAAAAGGAATTCTGACAGGAGATTAGTGTAAGTGCGTAATGTCATATTATGTATATATGTATATCAGCTGATCCATAGTTTACAGTCTAGTGTATGCATATATACATATGCATATGCATATGCACTCTAAAATCCACGTGGTATTCATATATATTTAAGCAAGAAAGCAGTCTATAATTTAAGATGACGATATTTTTACCCGTGATTTTAAATTCACTGTTTCAAATTAGTGTATGGGAGAATACAGCTACGTTTTAGGCTCATCTATTTAGAAAATATTCTCTTCAACAACACCAGCTTAACTTTTGTGTTTCACCAAAAAATTGATTGACTAATAACATTCGAATATGTTTTTTTTGGTTTGTGATCATATTGTCAAAAACTGATTTCATTTGAATTTGTGAATTCATTGTATAGTAGTAGTAGTGTAGTGAAGGAGAACACAGGTGAGGGCAACCGAATTGTATTTACCTCAAATTACACAGTTAATTGGTAAAATAGAAAAACCATGTTGTAAATCGTTAATTTGCAAAATATCAATCCATCATATCGAACTGGACTGTTCCTGTTGCAAACATCCATCCATTGTCTGACATTTCACTGCTCATGCGTTTCATACAAATTTCATTGTTCCCACTCTTCCTTTCTTGATCTTCCCCCATCTTCTGGTGACAGACATTACGTTGACAGTCACGTCATATACTACTTATAAGTAGCTCGCACCACAGTAGTAGTAGTTGGCTGTTTATCCAGTTATCGATTTCAACGAGAACGATTTTTTGTTCAAATTCCGCTACTGTGATCAATTTTTTTTCTTAATTTTGTAAACATTTAGTATAAATTATTTGAAAGAAAAATGTAATTCTGTCTTTCAAAATAGTTGACAGAAAACTCTTCCATGACAAGTGTCCCAAATAACAGCATGAAACTTAGGTCAAAAGTATCTGTCGCTATGATTGACTACTCCTAATCAAGGAACTTTTTGATGAGTTTATATTTGTTTTACTTTTTTCATAATATAACTAAGAAACCTTTAAATTTTAATCATTTGATTTTTTCAAAGATGAAAGGGATGCATTGGTGAATTAGTATTAACAAATGAAAAGGTCACTGATGCTGATGATTACATTTTGTATACACTTTTGCTGCAGTATATCTCCTCCTCATATCAATTATAGCAAGTTTGACTTTGGTAATTGGTTTTTTTTCGCTTATACTTTCTGTTGACTTGGATAAATAAAACGAACAACTTTTTCATTTCATCTAGTGAAAAGTTGCAAAAACTTTGCATTTTTTTGTTGTAGTTGTGCAATTCCATAGAAAATTTATTATTTTACTTAGTTTATTTACCTGGAATATCAGTGATCAGATTTTGTCCAGCAATTTTTCGCAGTGTTTTATTCATTAAAATTTACATCTCTGTCGTAATATCTTACTTGTAACACTATATACAATAGTAAACCGTTTGCTTTAATTATGTTTTATGGTCGCTGGAGCTTGTTAAACAAGACATGCTTTTGTGAAGTTGATGAGAAGCTGTGGTTATTCTCGAAGATCCGAATGAATATCAACTTACTTGTTTGACTACGCTATAATCGAGTAACAAATTCGAATTTCTTTGATGGAACGAGAAGGGATATCAACTTTCATATGCTATCTCGGGTTCATATTTCTTTCCAATCTTTTTCCCTATGTTTGGGACGTTAGATCCCCAAAACGCACTTGGAAAAGGTCCTAATACTGTAATTATATTCTGAAATTTTTAATTTCCATGTTTTTGCATCAAAAACGCTCAGCTTACATTTCCCACTGGGAAAATCCTTCAGTGTCATTGCTTGATGGATTATTTTAGTACGCTATTTTGTGGCTCTACCAACGTTGTTTCTATCATTGTGTAAATAAGCTTGATTTTTGTACTTAGACACTTCGTATTTCCTGTGTGCTTGTAGAATACAATCTCCATCCCTTATTAAGACATGCTGCTCTAGTTAGCGAGGCCTGGCACAAATCGGGTTAGAATAGCCTATCGTTCCGTTTTCCGAATAAGGTGAACTCGTAGTAGTTTCAAGCATATCACCTTAGCAAACACATAAGCTAACACTCATCAGTATATAAAAATTAATCGACTAAGCTGTTTTGTGAATTTACTTCTTTCTCTCCTCATTCTCCATACAGGCAAAGTTTATTTTAGCTCATGCTAAGTTTTGTATCCATTAAACAAAAATGAACAATTTCGATATTTTTTTACGTATCTTGTTTCAATCTTTTCACTTGTTAGAAATTACCGCCATTAACATTGTTTCCTCGGTGTAGGAATAGTTTGGAAAAAAATTAAGAGGATTAACATCAAAACACGACATCAGTTCATCTAATCATCATAGGACTGTTCATTCTAACCATGTGTTAATACATTCAGACTTACTTAGAAGAAGTGTAGGATTTAATTTGTCCTACAGACGTAATTCTAGAACAGTAAACGCAATACTGGCGAGCACAGAGTCTATGGTAAAGCTATAGTTAGAATAAAGTCAACTTGGTTTTAAACTTTATCTATTTCTAAACAAAAAAACAATTAAATTAGTACAATAAGTAAGGAAATTACAGCTATAAAGGGAAACGAATAAACATACCGACCAGTATAGCGTGTCTTTGGAAAATGAATAAAAAACATGAGTCACATCAATATAATAAGATAATAATGTCCTTCAATCAATAGGTCATTTACAACAATGAAGGTTTACAGACCGGTCAGACTAGATAGCCTGATGGGAGCTTAAACCACAATCTGATTGGTTAGTTATGGCATTACTACAATTACTTCTGGAAATAACTAACAAGAGGGTCGACGATCAGTATTTATAGACTTTGGATCATAATTGATGACACTGACTCTGATGCATTCACCTAAGTTCCAATTTTTGTTCATCCTTATTCTTATTATATACAGATTATATTTTCAATGTTTATTTTTATTCAGTAGTATTTTCTGTTGCATTATTCCTGCTCTAGTACAATTCATTTTGTTATGCTTACATGTTATACAATAACTTATTGAGTCAATACACATCTATCCCAGAGTCTGTACATTGATTATAACTGATTACTGTTTCATAAATCCAAATTATATTATTCAACATGTTTTACAAAAAAAAATAATTTTTTTCTTTCTCTTTTCAAACAGTATCTTACAGCTGATCTTGGTGGTCGTTCCACTTGTTCTCAATATACCAAAGAAATATGTCGTAAAATTGAAGAGAAAGCCTCTAAACGCTGAAGACAAATTGTATCGTCTATAAATATATACATATGTAATTGTTTTTCATTTCGTCATTCAATTCAAAATGACTGAAAAAAAATGCAAAACAAAACAAAACAAAACTATATTTAGCTAATAAATTCTTTGTATAGAGTAATAATAATTATTTTTCAGTTTCAACTTTGTTATCAACTCGTAACACTAATTAGTATGAGATAATATTTACTTACCGCTACTACTACTACTACTACCCCGTACATTTTGTCTTGTCTATCTTGTGTTTCCTTAATCTCTTCTACTTTCTTTTTTTTTCTTTGTTGTTGTTGTGAAACAATTCACACGATTTCTATGCTAGCATAAGTTGTTGTAGCTTCTGTTGTGAAACATTTCAAACACACACACACCGTGTTTTGTTCTCTTCTCCCTTCTTCTTCTTCGTCTTCTTCTTCACATTTTGTTTAAATGAAATAAATATCTCTTTAATGCATGGATTATCATTTCCATGATACGTTTTTTTTTATCTCAGTACTGTAAAATATAGGAATGATTTACATGCTTAATCATAATTCTTTGAAAAAAAAATGAAAGATCTAGGTTTTTGTGAATGTGTTTTTGCATGTTTTCAATTCGATTAGCTAATAAAAGCTTTCTAATCAATCGTGTAGCTAGTTCTGCTCATGTATATATATAATTACTTACTTACCTACGCCTGTCACCCGCAATAGGAGCACAGTACTCTTCAGCCTACTCTGTCCTGGTCCTTCCTTTCCCAGTTCTGTCCAGTTTTTGTTCATTCCTCTCATGTCTATCTCCATTTTTCGGCGTAATGTGTTCCCTAGCCTTCCTCTTTTCCTTTGACCGTAAGGGTTTCAAGTGAGGACTTGTTGTGTGATGCAGTTAGGTTCTTTCCGCAATGTATGTCCTATCTATTTCCAGTACTTCTGCCTGAATTCCTCCTCCATTGGAATCTGGTTTGTTCTCTTCCATAGTAGATTGTTGCTGATGGTGTCTGGTCAACGAATCTGAAGTATTTTGCATCGACAACTGTTAATGAATACTTGTATGGTCTGGATGATGGCTTTCGTAGTTCTTCAAATTTCCGTCCCATACAGTAGAACTGTGTTGACATTAGTATTAGAAATCCTGATTTCGGTGTTGGTTGATAGCTGTTTTTAGTTTCAGTTATTCTTCATTTTTAGAATAGCTTTCTTTGCCTTGCCGATCTGCGCCTTCGCTTCCGCATCAGATCCGCCGTGTACATCAGTTATGCTGCCCAGATATGTAAAGGTTTATACATCCTCCAAAGGTTCTCCATCAAGTGTAATTTGGTTTGTGTATGTAGTTTTGTATCGGAGAATCTTGTTTTTCTCTTCATGCATTTTGATACCTGATGCAATGTCGATAACCTTCGTATTTTGGCCTCATTTCTATAATGTGAATTGTCGTCTTACCGAAAACTGATTGGTTATCATTCCATTTATTGTTTAGACTTATAAAAAGTAAATGAACGATTTTCTCTATCTGATTTTATTATCCTTTCGAATGTCGTGTCACTTATTCTGTTTTGTTGAAATTCAAACTAGAATTACTTCCATGCAATCAAACCTACATACATCCTAGGTGTGGCTTCATCAAATATCACTTAAAATTATAGATGGTTACGAAGATAGTTTGGCATTGTGTTTCCCTCTTTACTTCTATTCGTCTACAAAATATTCCATATTCTACAATTGTTTATGGTAACTATTTTTAGTAAAGTAAATTGAACCCATTGATTAGTTTTATGCATATGTACACGCATATATGAGTTACTTATCGATTTTTCTTTTGGTATGTATACCATGTATATTAGCTTTTACACTTGATTGATATATTACCTGCCTTATAGCTAAGGAGACTGAAGTCTTCAAAGTATATCTGGACCACCCGACCGTAGCATCTATCTTGACGTGTTGACCCTATCGAGCTATATCTGTTCGAACATATGTTACTATAGATTCTGCCTTGCCAGCCAGGTCAACTGGAGAACGGTGAGACCAAAAGCACCTACTCAAGCTCTGAGGGTGAAGTCGTACTGCTGACTGTAGAGGGGGTGTGACAACAGTAAGGTGTTTCCCTTGGACAACCAGCGTCTGCAGTGATGCTGCCTTCTCACAAGGAAGGGAGGGGGTTAGAAATGGTTGACCCTAAAAATGTCACACCTCACCTTACCTCATGGATTTCCGTCTCCGATGGTGAGGCCTTTTAAAAAAAGCGTAGCTAACACTTTAAAAACTTCTCATAAATGGCAAATCCGATTATCATGTCAATGTAGCAGCTACAGTCGAGATGATTATCTACTATAGTGTATTAGTCTTAATATACAAGACATATATATATACGTTACGTGGTCGAGACTAGTCGGTTATAGAATACTTGAACTTGAGTTTCATGCGAGTTACAACTTGTCTTTAAAGGAATTGTTATTGTTCATGTGATTCAAAATAAATTCACTTACTTTTTGTGTCTTCGATGTGTTCAGCAAAATTACAAATGACTTCTCGTTAAACTAAATTATCTATAAATCATTGAGTAGTGGTTGATTAATATCATGTTTATCTAGTCGTTTAGTTATCAACCAATCGAGAACTATCAGTAAATTTGTATCCGTCTAAGTGACTTTGTATCGCATGCATTATGCTTAATACAGTTAACACAACGTCTAGGTGAATGTTACCTTCTAATTTATTGATAGAGTATGATAAATATTGGCTATTTCAAACAACAACTGAAACTGATTTCAACAAGTAGATCGATGATCACAGTATATTTTTTGGCTTATATAATTTTCTTGAAACCATGAATCGATCAATGTTAGATCACCATTAGAAACCTGGAAGCACTGGACGGCCGTTTCGCCCTGATATGGGACTCTTCAGCAGTGCGCATCCACAACTCCTGGACCCCACAGGATTCGAACCCAGGACCTTCGGTATTGTGCGCGAACGCCCTAACCGTTAGACCACTGGGCCGGTATCTAACGCTGTTAATATCTAACTTGATCAAATATAATTTGTATGAATTTGAAAATTGTTTCCATTGCTTACTTATTATATAAGTAGTGAATATTTGGAGTATTATTATTAGCTCATCATTGAACACACACACCGAGATGTTGCATTCTATGATAACCAAAACATAGAAAAAAAATTTTTTTATGCGCATGAATTAAACTCATAACTAACTATCTATGTTATCTAGATAATTTTTGTTCAACTTTAAAACCTGCCCTATTACAATCAAACAAAAATTTTGACAAATTCATTATCATATATATGTATATATCTATGATATTGCAGCATTTCTAAATTCTTTTTATACAATATATATATATATACACTGATTCTATATAAAATACTTTTCTACACATGCAATTTATTTAGTGATATATGTTTATATATATATATAGGTCATAAGATGATAAGATTGTCATAGCAACTGTTTATTTTTTTTTATCAATTGAGTCACATACAACAACATTCAAGGTCATTCACGTAGATATATGCACCATAAAAATCATACGATTCTATGAACAGAAAAAAGAAGTAAGAATGAACAAAACCCAATCGTAAGAGCTATTTATCTATTATTTTATAATTGACACGTGTATTTTTGTGTGTGTGTATGTGTGTGCGATGGTGTGTCACTCTCTCACATAGTAAAGCTGTGTGATTAATTGTTTTTTTGCCTTTTTATAATCAACACAGAAGTTATGTGTACATTATTGACCATTCTTGTCCAGAATGATGATCACAATGGAATCAATCATTCAGTTAGACAACAACCAAAAGAGAAGATTTGTGATTTGCTTTTACGCTCTTACCTATGATTTATGTACATATATTATATATGTTTTGCTGTGTAAATAATGCGTTACATGAATACATCGTGTATTTTCAAAAAATCAATATAACTAACTTTACTGATTGCACTGATATTGTTTTATGCAAATGAAATGACAATGCACTAGAGAAATAATTTGTTACAAACATATGTAAAGAAGAAGTATATTCTATCGAGTGTTTCACACGAGATCGATTTGTTTACAGTAATTTGAAAAAAGGCAGTAGTGAATTGCTGTAACTCTGGCTAGAGACTTTCTGAGGGTCCTAAGCCCGACCTTATCCCACAGAAAATCAATTCGCTGATAAAATCATCTATCAGTCAATAAAATCACAATTGAACTATCGTCATAAGTTTGTGTTCATACTATTGTGGTGCGAGCTACTTATAAGTAGTATATGACGTGAGCGTCAACGTTATGTCTGGCAGCAGAAGATGGGAGAAGATCAAGAAAGTAAGAGTTAGAAAACAATGGAATTTGTATGAAACGCATGAATAGTAGTGACAATGGATTGATGTTTTGCAACAGGAACAGTCCAGTTTGATATGATGGACTGATATTTTGCAAATTAACAACGATTTACGATATGGTTTTCCTATTTTATTGAGTAACTCTGTAATTTTCGTTAAATGCAATACGGTTGCCCTCACCTGTGTTCTCGTTCACTACACTATTATTTCCAGCCAACAAAATACTGTGAATTCTTTTAAAATAACTACATAATGATGTTTGGTATTATTTGTTGTTCTTTAAATCCCAAAGCAGGTTCTTATGATTAACTTGTTATGACACAACAGCAAGGTGAAACATGATTCTGTATTAATTGTTGGATGTCGGCTCAGTGGTCTAGAGGTTAAGAGATCGCGCTCACAAACGAAAGTCCTGGATTTAATCCTCGCGAGCGGGATTTGTGGATACTTATGTCTGCTTACAGTAAATGATTGCATGAAATAAATTCCATTTAATTCGGTCCGTATTCGACTTCTTATTATCTCCGTCAATGTTGGGGATGTTAGATCCTCAGAACTCACTTGGAAAATGTCCGGATTTTGTAATTTTATTCTGAAATTTTGAATTGCCTTGTTTTCGCGCCAGTTGATATTCAGCTCACATTTCCAACTCGGAAAATCCTTGACTGTCATTGGTTGATGTATTATTTTAGTACACTATTTTGTGACTCCCAAGGGCTTGATTTGTGAAATTAAACACCGTATTTTCTGGGTTCTTGTAGAATACATTTTCTACGCGTTATCAAGTCTTCTTGCTTTTGTTAGGGGGTCCTAAGACAACGGATTAGAATAGCCTATCGTGTCACTGAGTCATCGCTCTTTGTTCCGTTTACGGAGTAAGGTTAACTAGTAATAGCATTCAAGCATATCAGTTGGCGAGCATATCATTCATAGAAACGAGGTTCATCCTAAGTGTGCTATACATAACAAAATGGAAGATTTGTTTTCCTAGAAAATTTAATCGTTCGCCCAAATCGGAGTTAGATCTCAGGTAACTAGTGGTGAAGGTCAAAGAAAATGTTTCACCTCACTTTGAACTCATTGGTTGAATGTATCGGTTAGAAAACCAATGCATGTTCAGAGGTGTGGTGTAGATAAAACTTCAGTGTACATAAAACTTTCTACCATTTATAAGTTTAAAATACTTGTTTCTCTAATCCTTTTATTTAACTTAAAGCACCACTGATAAACTTTAGTAAGTGTTCTGTTACGCTTGAAAAATGGATATGCTTGAACTATTACCGTGGTGTGTGCTACTTTTTCGA